TGGAGTAGAGACGCGCTTACAGCCGACAGACACTAATGGTTTTCCTTAACTTGAAAGCCGTCTTCGGTTGTGGTGATCGTGCTAGGTTGTTGAACCGCCTATCTACTGGAGGTGTACCAGCAAACTCCTTTCCATTCTGATGTCTTTCTACCTCGACTCTCTAGATCGGGTAATTGTCTACGGGAAGCTGTCTACTGATTTCCCCACAACAAGTAGGGTTTACAAATTTTCTTATTAACTTTATCATCGAAGTGATCATCAATGATTGTCCTCTCAGCCTCTTCCCTAGTAGCAATTCTACCAGCTGACTGGCTGACAACTCTTGAGTATGGAGACAACATAGCTCTTCTTGGGTCTGAGGCAGTCGTTGTTCAAACACAATTGAATTGTCTGTATGCTTTTGCATCCGCTTAACATCTTCAAATGGCAAATTGCTCTGATAGGAATTGAACCATACACCACCCATTTTAGCTATCACTGTATAGTCACGGAGTAAGAGATCCGTCCACTTATTTTGCTATTTGTGTCACCTGTTGTGCTCACATCACCGGGGAAGTTACTTCGTGTATTATCAAGGCCCATGTGCGTTTTCAGAGACCTAACTATCTCTGGAGGCGACGGGATATCAGTTTCATTAACCTGAATCAAGATCATAAATCAGTCCGGGGTTAAGAAATTTTTCGGTACACTCTCTTCAGACCCAAACATTTACATAACACTGATTAGCGATAGTTCATCATGGTTCACTCTCAGTCATCAGGCTTTGGCTAGTCTGGAGATTCACCAGACAGCGGTGTTTCGACCTTCTGGGTCTCATCAGTGGTGCGCCTTTAGCGGACCCCTGCCGTGTTACGTCCCCGTGACTTTCGGATGCCAGCAGCTAGAGTCACTTCACCATGGGTGACAGCTGCGGGTCTGCATGATTGACAGTTGACTGTGATATAGCCCGGTTCATCTTCTACTGTCAGAGGACAGCAGCTAGCCCCAGGAGTAATATAAAATCTGTCCATATGCCTTCTAAGTCCTTGCGTTGTACCAAAATGCTATGCGGGAAGTCCTAGCTTGTGGGCTAGTTGCTGTCCTCTGCACAGTTCGTAACTAGCCTGGCAGTAGAAGAAGAGCCACGCTATATCACAGTCAAGTGTCAATCATGCAGACCCGCAGCTGTCACCCATGGTGAAGTGACACTAGCTGCTGGCATCCGAAAGTCACGGGGGCGTAACCCGGCAGGGGTCCGCTACAAGCCGCATCACTGATGAGACCCAGAAAGTCGAAACACCGGTGTCTAATGCTTTTCCAGACTAGCCAGAGCCTGATGACTAAGAGTGGACCATGATGAATTATCTACTCTTTAGTAATAACGCTGCTTATGTGGGGACAGCGTCAATGCGTGCTGGGATTAATTTCTGAGCTGTTTGAACGGTCAAAATCGATGACTTAAGATGGCTACAGATGACAAGCAAAATTCACTAAAGGAACATTGCTACATAAGCCTCAGTAGTCTAAAGTAAATAGACAAGATCACAAAGGGATAACTAAGCAACAATGTCAGTTGACCATGACAGTAGTATTGACCGTATGAATCGTCTTCGTATACATAATTCCGGCCGGAATTATATACTGGACAGCGTTTTGTCTTAAACATAACTCTTTCAGACCAAGTAAACCAGTGCCAGTTTATTGTGCTGTTTTGAAGCCAGCCGAGGATATGCTGACGCCTGCAGTCAACATGTTATTACAGTCTTGGGTTAAAGACGTTGGCTTAACTAGATCTGTCAGATAGGCGAACGGCTTATCTTGCCCACTTCATATATATATGTATGTATATATCAGCAACAGTCTGACGAATCGACATAGAGCCAAACGAAACTAAGGAAATCGACGGAAGAAGACAGATCGGACCGCTTCATCATTCACATGGCGCATTAGCTGGTAAGCAACACAAATCCGCTATTGTGCCACAAGAAAAAGAACACTTTGTTATTTTGCATACGCCATTTTACGTTTTTTTTGTTATTTCTCATTTGTTAGGCATCAGGCATCTGAATCTAAACAGTTGTGTACACAGATCTTCCGCTGGTTTCGATTGCGCAACATATCCTCAATTGCTTCCAGCCATTGTCGTTCCTCCTCCTTTGGCTCTTAACCAGGCAGGTGTTTGGATCCCACGACAACAACACGTGAAGCCAACAATTTCATGTGCTGTTGTCAGGTGGACGGCTGACTACAGCGTGGTCTCTTCCATCCTAGCCCTACACGAGCGAAAATGGCGCAATGGGTCAAATGCTCAGCTGACATGCGCAGGACGTGACCAGTCCATCTTAACTGACGCAGTAAAATCAGCTTATCAAAGGAATATTCGCATTCCCTAGGAGATGACGTCTGACTTACCGTTGCAGATTCCTTGTTACTACCCGTGCAATCCTCCTTAAGCACCCATTGTCAAAGACCGAGCACTGGCGCATGTCTTCCACGCGAACTGGCCACGGCTCGCTTCCATATAGAAACACCACCCGAGCAGTGGCATTGTAAACATGACCTTTTACCTAGCGAAAGACATTCCAACGACGCTACGTTTGTATCAGGTTGGTAAACAACGACTCAACCTTCTCAATGCGGAGAGGAACTTCTTTTCTATTAGTATCACCAGCAGACACGTAGCTGCTCAGGCAGACAAAGCTATCAACGTGTGTACCTTTAAAAGTGAGCACGGGAACGGGCGGGTGTCAATCCTCGAGCAACACTTGACACTTCGACGTGACGAAACACATTCCTTACTTAGATGCATCACTCGCCAAACGGTTGAGAATAGTTTGCATGCTCTGTGAGTCGTCATGTAAGACCATGTCATCAGCGTAGTCTAAGTCGGCCGCTCACTTACCCGGTAGTAGCTGCATACCAAATAATAATAATGCTAATAATAATAACAATAATAATAATAATAATTGTCAGCTGTACGCCGTAACGGCGCTTCGCTGCCGCGCGACCACCAACAGTCGCGCGCGGGCTGAGTGTACCGCGAGGACGCCCACCTCTACGCGTATTCGAACCGGTGACCTTATGATTGCAAACACAACGCGCAGACCACTCGGCCACCGGCCGACAGCTGCAGACCAGAATGTTAGTAACCTTACAGCGCTTTCGACGGGACATCATGAATCTCGAAATTGAAGAGGAAAGGGGTCATAGGGCAGCCCTGTCGTATACCGCTATTGACAGCGAAGGACGAAGAAAACTTGCCATGTACCCTCACTCTCGCGGAGATATGAAAGTAGGGTGCGCGTAGAGTGGCAGTGTACTTTTCTGGAATCCCTTTCTTTAGTATTCAACGCCATAACGCAGGTCGATCAGTCGAGTCGAAGGTAGCACAGATGTCTAAAAATGCAACGATGGTAGGCCTCTGGTAGAGGTGGCATTGTCCGAGGATTTTGTGGAGCGTGGTTATTAGATCCACACACCCACGGTCAGGACGGAAGCCAGCTTGCTCTTCCCGATACTTCGATTCACCAATGGGCGATAGTTTACGGAACAGTAGGTATGCCAATAGCTTGGATGCAACCGAAATGGGACTAATCCCCTGGTGATTGATGCGTGAAATGCGAGCACCCTTCTTAAAAATTGGACAATGACTGACTCACCCCAGGAAGAAAGCACCTTTTCTTCAATTTAGTTTTTAAAGTACAATGGCTGATGATAACTGCGCCTCTATACTTGAAAAGCACCGGAAGAAGTCCGTCTGAACCGGCAGCGTCAAATCGTTTGAAGTGCCAAATCGCAAGGCAAATTCCACTTCTCGATGTATCAAGTGTTACAACCCAGGGCATGCACCTGGGTTCACAGGACACAACTGGACGGTGAGGGCCAATAGAACTGGGGAGGAAAATGTTCGGTCCATCTATCCAAACGTCTCTGTAGGTTGACAGTCGGCGAACCATGTGCTTCACAATTAGTCTCACTAACACCGGGCTTGCGAATATTGCAAGAGAAGGCAGCGGCTTCCATTTACGAAGCACGCTGAAAGCACCAGATTTCGCGATCACCGCATCGGCTTTCTTTAAGCTGTCCCCACTTCATGTAGAGCTGCCACAAGGTCGCGGTTGGTTGTCGAGTGAACCAACCAATGGGTTCCACACCGGACCATCATCCTACAGAGGAGGCAACCATTGTATGCACAGATCGCATTGTGAGTGTAAAATAGGTTTCATGAATACCGATAAACAACAGACACAGTGCATGACACTCCTAGGAGAATCGGTGGTTTAAGTGTACACGCTGAACCTTGGATCCGATTCGACTGAGTTTTGTGATCAATAAAAGTGAATTACCAACAGTGGTCGTATGGATTGATCGCCTTACTGTGGGAATTACCGAATTACCGAGACGCATAGGTGGTCAGTTGTATAAACATCGACGCATGGAGTGCGAAGATCAACGCCATTACCACTGTGGCCTCTGTGAATTCTGGGATGTGTATAGATTCGTTTATGAACTTGAAAGTATGCAAAATATATGTACTAGGACTGATGTAACTGCGATGCATCTGTACGATGGTATTCCGTGAATTACTTAGACTTCTCAACCTGTGATTGCAGTACTTAGAATAAATTTTCGACCGGAGACTACTAATGCTCTCATTCATTTCATACCTTGGCGCGCAAACTTGGCGAGGCTGTTTTTTCAAAGCCGACATATTGCTCAACAAATATGCTAGCCGGTTATATTTAACTTGCTCTACAACAATGACTTATGTTTTGTCTTTCTCTTCTAACATGTTTTTCTTGTTCACCTGCTGATAAAAAGTCTTGCACTTATCCACTACGTCCTCATTTCTCGGTTCTTAGCGATCGCCCGAGTACAAAGTCCAAATAGCAATTTTCTGCAACACTTAAGTCGGTCTGTTGAATCCATCATTTGAATTGTCATAGGTGTTGGTTTTCGCTAACCCATTGTCTTCTATTTTGCTTTGCCTACTTAACCTCTTCTATTTGCTGTTGTTCCAGGAGTCTTCGGATCCGGCCTTTCCTCCCCCCAGTGATCCAGATCCCCTTCCTTGTGCTGACGGTCAAGTAGTGTCATGCATTGGCACTGCAACTTCTACTGATCTGGTTTATGGAACGAGTAATGTTTGCTTGACTGGCCACATCGCTGCCGGATCAAATGCAAGAGTTTTCCCTGATGACTATATTGGATGCTCTCAGGATGCCAGAAACGTTTCTTCCTATTCTCTGGCTAACCACACAGAGGATCCTGTTGTTCTTCCCTACAGTACACGTATACATCAGTCAATAACTGCAAGTCAGCTCCCTAAAAAATCAAGACCTCGTTTTCCACGTTCTGCCTCCTATTACGGCGAATCGACTTCATTTAACGCAAACTCAGAAGATATCAACGATGCGTATGAGGGTTCTTGTGAACGTCTACTCCACTTACTTCCGAATTCAGTCTCAACAGGCTTCAAACCACCTATAACTTCGGAAGTTATTTCGCACAATACGCAGCGCATCTCTGGTCGAAATTTAGAAGATTTGGAACCGGTAAATGATCCATATGGGTCCCCGCTATCTTCAAGAGCCTTCGAGTCAGCGCTCCTTCCTAGAAAGCCCAAAGCAGCCGCATCAACAAAAACGAAAATGAGTTGTCCTATGGATAACAGGAAGCTGCTCATTAAAGTTGTTAAGGCCGATGGTCTTATTCTCAAAGGTTTGTGCAATGATTCCATTTTATTTAATGTTCATTGGGGAATTGTTTTTTACTGGGAGTACCGTCTACTACTTCTGACACCTCAGCCACTTCGGATCACGTTACCATGCTATCCGAAGAGGGACGATTATAATGGCCAGGCAAATGTCCACTGAAAACAACTTTAGTGCTACAAGAAATAAGTGTCGGTGGTCAAAAGTGAAGAACTAGGTCTAAAGTCTTCGTCGACATATTCAATCCATGATGTTATTAGCGTTTTCTTTCGATACTCAAATTGTTATCGTAACGAGGCTTCACTCTGTAACAGTTTGCTCACCTTTCGATTTAATGAGTGTCTTTTGGCACTTCCCCGGTCCACTTGTTGAACCCGCACTACTCACGTTATCTACATCACATTCTTCGGCCAGTGGCCGAATCTAATTCTAAGCTGAATCTAATTCAAAGCTGAATCTAGGGAGCACGCTGTGGTTGGGTTGCGACTCGCAACCTCTTTTGATACCTCGGCTCACTTTGAGGTAAACCCTGGTCATTCCGATCTTGAGGACTGTATCCTGAATGGATGTAATTGGATGTTACTCTTCCCAACCCTGCATCGTGAATACCACCGTTTTACTTCGGCATAGGTGCTGATGGCCTCACAGTATCCTTAACCCGGATAGGACCGCCAGTGGTCGATGTGGCGCACCGACGTACTGTTCATATACTTTCTTCCTCGCGTGCCACTCACCCGCCTGCTCTGGAACACTTGTTGGCACTGCATGACATTACGACTGATTAATGGCGCGTTGCGGAAGCATAAAAAACGTGACCGAAAGCTTTGGCCGCTTGATTGCTTTTTGTCACCTTTTATACTGGGTACCGAATCCTCCATATCTTCCGGGAACGTTTTGGAACATAATACAGTCCGAAAGCTATCGGTACTTTCTAACGACAACGATAACAAAGAGACATCAGCGATACGCCGGTATGCAGTACCGACACCTCGCTGCCGCGCAACAACCACCAGTCTTGCGTGAGCTAAAAATGCTGCGTTGGTCACTCGGTCACCTACGAGGGCTCGATCCCACGACCTCAGGTTACAAGACTGGCTTGTAATCGTTAAAGCCACGGGCCGACCGGTGGATCCAGTTGCCACGGCTCACATCGCCAGAATAAGAATAGCAGTGGTGCGAAGTTGATGTTAAATGCTAAATTTGAGTTAAAGCTGACATGCGCAAAACTAATCGGGGTGGAAAATTAACAGCTAGGTGCAAGAAACTGAATGCAGAAACTCCAGTGCCTTCGTGTCTACATCATGTCTGGTATAGTTTTAACCACTGGTGTGTATGACCTCGGGACCCCATCGACCAAGACTGCACGCATCAATTTGACCAAGTCTCAGCTACTTTTTTATGTCCTTATGCCGCGTCACCGGCTGGCCACCTTGCGGTTTCGCCCAACTTTGTTCAGAGAGCTTATAATGTACACGATAAAGCCGGTCGACAGGCACAAGAAGGACATGGTCTGGTCAACGATTGAGTTTAAGTCAACGATTTTTGCTTCTTGCACCAACCAGCTGACGTACCTCAGCGTTGCTCATCTGGTGTTCCCGACAGATATGAGCAATACTCTGCAACATCGGCAATCAAGCACGGCCAAGTGCTTAGTGTCAGCATTACCAGTTGTGCTTGTCTCTGATCCGTACAGTAACACCTGCCTTGTCGCAGCGTTATACACCCTACGTTTCACTGACAGGCTGATATCTAGCCATCTTAATGGATGGTTAAGCCTCCGAAATGCCGCGCGGGTTTTGTTAATTCTCGAAATTTTCTTTCCCAGTGATGTGACCACCAGAGATGACACAACTATCAAGGTAACTTAACCGATAGCTAAAACCGGTGGTGTTTACGTCCAGTCTTGCAATAATACCTTGCAGCTTGATGGTAGAAAGCACGTGCCGAAGCGTGCAGCGCTATATATTTCTACCGGCCATGGCGGAGCATTATGCCTGGATCTGGAAGCACGAATGCTAGCTGTCAATTTAGTTTAGTTTCTGGAGTATCGAGTTAGCGTAAACATTTTTTGACACGTTTATCTTCCTACTTTTTGCCACATAGTTTTCTTCATTGTATGGATTTTCTGCATTTGGCTTAGTAGTCGCAAGCTTATTTTAAACGTGTGTACTTGTGCAGAATATTCAACGTGGGGTTACTTTGTCTTTAAGCGCCGTGGTCATATTCAAGCAATCCTAAGTTGTCCATGTTGCTTACATTAGGATAGCGTTGGGACGGCATGTATGGGATGCTTAATAAAGGCTTGTTGCTCTTGTTCTGTGACGACGCCGTCCTGCTTTCTTTATTCGCTCTATACTATCGGGCAGCATTTAAGTGACGGTCGGGTTCGCTATTCATACCTTAAATAAATTAGTTATAATGGTGAGGAGTTCCCGAATAAAATTACCACGCGCCGTTTTGTCCTGGATGTTGCATAACACCCTTGTTCTGAATGTTGACGTAACATAAGTGACGATCTCATTTATTAGTCATAATATGATTCCTTTTGTGCGGCACAACAGCCGACTGTTAGCTCTCCGGCACGATGTCCATCTGGTACTGGTGACAGTTGGCGTGCCTCTGTTGCATGTTTATTTCTTCTTATGTATTGCGGCACAATAGCTGAGGTGTTTTCCACCTCCAGCTAACGTGTATAATGATGATGTTGATGATGAGTAACGGTGCCCCCTAGGTCACTGTGGCTGATGTTGCACTTGTATGACATATCGCTACACTTTTCCATATAGTGCTGATGATGCTCAGATTGACAGAGTAAACTACCTACATGTCATCGATAAATATATAACTGCGCGCCAACTTTGAATTGACGGCAGATCTCACTCACGTATAGCGAAACGAAAACACGGTCTTGACTGAACTCGTTAGTAACGGCTTTGGGTTGCGGTTTGCGTTGTCATATCTGTGTGCAACCAGAGGGATACGATCCAACTCAAGACATCAAAGCATCCTCTATGCCTTAAGTCTAAACCTATGCTGAAAGTCGGTTATGAGGTACTTGACCGAAGTCTTTATGCATGTCAAACTAGATGACAATTGTGGCTAAGCCGCGATCTTGAGAATTAATGAGTTGGTTTAGTGATTCCAAATTGCATGTGTTGCTAGACCTAGATTTCTGCCATCCATGCCGCGTGTCGTTGACTGAGTATCGAAACACTGGGAAATTGACCTTAAAGTTGATATGATGCTCCATTATCTTTACTAGCATATATATATATATATATATATATATATATATATATGCACAAATCTGTATACAGACAATGTGCCGTCAGAACCATGGCAGAAAAGAAAGTATACGAAAAAAACAAGATGAAAACGTCGGTTCTTTTTTTGGGGGGGGGGGTGGTTTCATGCCCACTGTTTTGCGTTTTTATTACACGAGACTAATCAACCGACAAAACGGTACCACACTGGCGCCACTGATCTTTGTTACCTGCCATCACATCCAACGTTTGCAACCACAGAAATTCCGAGTCATGTGGTCCCCAACCTGGGAGGCACACTTATCCGATTAATGCTGAGCTAGAGGATGCTTTCTTCATGCTACTTTCCCACATCATTTGTTGTCCACCGCGACACTTTCTAATTGCTTTCGGGGAAGGCAATGGGTTGGCATCCGCAGTACGTGGCCGAGCCAACTCATGCGGTGAGGACATTTTGAAGGCTGGAGCTGTTCGCTCTAAGCATGCTCATGCGACGTTGCCACCAGATACTAGCAATCCTCCTCAGACAACGGTTGTCGAAAACTAACTCGTCCCATGTCTTCCGATTTAACAGGCCAGGTCTCACAGCCGTACAGCAGAACCGTACGGACGGAAGCATTGTACACCCTGTCCTTGCGCTTGAGACTGACATCTATTAGGATAAATCAAGGGAGGCAGCATCTGAGTAAAGAATTCTTTTCGGTAATTCTCATCAGGCTGATACCTTACATGATGACCACAAAGTGCTAAATGTGCCGGATTGGGCTGCCTATTGATCAGCATGTTTACTTCCAACAGGAACGAATCAATAAACCACGAGGTCCTTGAGGGTGGCAAATTATGTACAGGGGAAATCACAGCAGAAGTTGTACGCACAATGCTGACTTGGGGTGGCGGATATAGATAGCTTCCGCAATAGACAGGAGATGCTTCCGGAATCCGCGCGAAAAACGTTCAGGGATAGTATAGAGGACTATGAAATCATTTTCCGTCCTTGCGTGACGGCACTCTAGAAGGTGAGACAAGATGCAACTGTGACTGAACCTCCCTTCGCCTTTGTAAAGTCACTTTGGGATGTGTTCGCTAGTCCTATGAGATAGGCGCCTCGTTGTACGACCCACGTATCGTGTACCACAGGAGCACGAGTAAAGATAAACAAGCATTGATGGAGTCAGCGGAGGCGACCCGTCTTTCAAAGGTTTTGCGAATAAAGGCTTGTTGTAAAATATTATGCGTAGGCGAGCCGCGAAGTAGGTCTTTTAAACAGCGTCTTTCAGACGCTTGGACAGGGCTTCAGCCGCACTGTCGCCTTTGAAAGGAAAATGCACAATTTGTTAAGTACGTTTATCCTTGGTGGTTTTATCTTGCGTTTTTTCAAATGTTTGAGGATGAATTTATCTGGATACCCATTCGCTCTTAGCGCGTCGCCGATTTTCAGAAATTCTTTGGTAATTGTGTCCGGTGTGCAAATTCTGTGTGCCCGGACGGCAAGAGTGCGGACTAGATTTCGTTTGTACTGCAGCGTTACCGCACTATAGAAGTTAATGTACTCTCCAGTCCAAGTTGGTTTTCTATCCACTAGTCTGCTGCACGATCCATCGGTTTTTCTGATGATATCAACGTCCAGGAACGGTAGTCGGTTTCCGGACTCTTGCTCACATGTGAATTGTAGGTTCTGAGACACATCATTAAAAGATTCCAACAGTTTCACAGCCTGCGCTTTCGATTTGCAAAGTATAAATGT